AGAGTGCCACCATAAACTCGATACTCGGTCAGTCCAAAAGCGAGACTAATGCTTTCCGACCCGCCACAGATCACATACACGAGGTTTCAGGAACGGTCAGTGGAGTTAACATAACCTTCATCGACACGCCTGGTTTCCATTCTTCGTCGTCCTCTTGCACGAGAAGAAACCGGAAGATTCTGCTATCTATCAAAAGGTACACGAAGAAGCGTCCGCCTGATGTAGTTCTCTATCTCGACCGGCTTGACACGATCAACATGCAGTACAGTGACTTCCCCCTTCTGAAGCTCGTAACCGAAGTCTTCCGTCCCGCCATTTGGTTTAACACGATTCTCGTGTTTACGCATTCTTCAACTGCTTCTGAAGGGCTTAATGGACAGTCTCTCAACTTCGAGTCATTTGTCTCGCAGCGTGCAAACATGGTCCAGCACTATATTCATCAGACTGTGTCGGATACAAAACTGGAAAATCCCGTGATTTTAGTCGAAAACCATCCGAGGTGTAAGAAGAATCCAGCAGGTGAATTCGTTCTCCCGAATGGGCAGGTATGGAAGCCTCAGTTCCTGTTTTTGTGCGTCTGTAGCAAAGTTCTCGGCGACGTGCAATCTCTGTTGAGATTTCGGGACACTGTCGGGGTAGGACAGCCGAGTAATACCCGTGTGGCGTCTCTGCCTCACCTTCTTTCGTCTTTCCTACGCCGACATTTGTTGTCAAGCCCAGATGAAGCGGAGACAGAAATATACGAGCTTTTGCTTTCGGATTTGGATGAAGAAGATGAGTATGATCAGTTACCTTCAATCCGAATCCTGGGGAAATCTCAGTTCGAGAAGTTGTCGGAATCCCAGAAAAAGGAGTATCTTGATGAGCTTGATTACAGGGAAACCCTTTATTTGAAGAAACAGGTGAAGGAAGAATGCCGAAGGAAACGGCAGGAGAAGAAGCGTGTCCAAGAGGAGGAGAGTTTCGATAAGGACAACGATCCCGACAACCAAGCAGTTGTTCCATTGCCAGACATGGCCGGACCCGACAGTTTCGATTCAGATTTTCCGACCCATAGATACCGATGTGTTGCTACGAGCGACCAATGGCTCGTAAGGCCAGTCTATGATCCACAAGGATGGGACCACGACGTAGGTTTCGATGGATTAAATGTCGAGACAGTTGCGAAACCGAGAAAGGATCTCTTTGCTTCGGTTACAGGACAGATGAGCAAAGACAAGCAACGGTTCACTGTCCAATCCGAAGGGAATGCAGCTTACACAAACCCTAGAGAACTGGCATACTCTGTAGCCGTCGATCTTCAGACGTCGGGAGAAGAACTGATGTACTCGGTTCAAGGGGGCACGAAAGTGAAGAGCTTTGAGCACAACACGACGGATTTAGGGCTCGGGCTAACGTTTTTCGGGGGGAAATGCTTGGTGGGTGGCAAGCTAGAGGACACTTTATTGCTTGGGAAGAGGATGAAATTAACGGTGAATGCAGGTCAGATGACGGGTGCAGGGCAAAAAGCTTGCGGTGGATCGCTCGAAGCCACCATTAGAGGACGGGATTTTCCGGTAAGGGACGATCACATCGGGTTAACGATGACGGCTCTCTCTTACAACAAAGAGGTTGTCCTCAACGGGGGCTTACAGTCTCGGTTCAGACCAACTCGGGACACAAAGGTAGACATAAACGTAAGTATGAACAGCCGGAAAATGGGACAGGTATGTCTGAAACTGAGCAGCTCCAAGCATTGGGAGATGGCGGCATTGCTCTCCGCCCTTTCGATCTTCAGAACTTTCTCGAGGAAGAAGACGATCGACGATACGAACAAGGGAAGATTAGAGGAAGAGTTCTGACTTGGTTTTTCGGGTTTATAGCGTCTTTTTTCCTCACTCTTCCTCTGTTTTCACCATTGCAGCCACTCCTCCATTGTACGGTTCTGTTTTCAGCAGCAGAATAGACGACAGATATAATTGTTTCCAGAAGAAATACAGAGACTGTGTTTTTTTTTTGGATACGGGTTCAAAATTATAGAAAAATCTTGAAATAATAAAAACAAAATTCCTATTTGAAATGCATAATATATTTGCAGATCTCGAAAGGTATACCGATAGGCATTATATCAAAAATACCCTTAAAATGCTACTTGTACTTTAAGAACTACCAATGTGACCGAAATATAGTGTGGTCACATATTGATCTTATTGTTCATAACGTTAAATTTATGATGTTTTAATCAAATAATTAGTAAGATATACAAGGTATGAACATAATGAATTAGTGTGATCACCATAAATTTAACGTTATAATCGATAAAAATCAAAATGTGACCATAGTATATTTCGGTCACATTGGTCACATGTGACCAGGGTAGGTTTTGAAATAGAAGTAGCATTTTAAGGGTATTTTTGATAATGCCCCGATAAATACAGCTTTAAAGAAAAAAATAAATGCTGTTTTTCATTTTTCATTTTTATTTATTGCCCATAAACAAAACAACCGTATATATAAATAAATAATAAATTTAAATAAAAAAAAGGGAATTTATTGATAACCTAACCAACAACTAAAACCAAACAGGACACCAACTTCCACCTGCAAAACTCCTCCACCTTAAATGCTTTCATCTCCTCTGCAACTTTCTCATCCTCCTCCCCATCACCACACTGTTTACATACATTACATAACCATTTTTTCCATATATTATATATACATCCGAATTCATTTACACATTGGAAATCATACATATTCATCCAATCCATATGGGCCGTCATGGATCGTAAGGAAGAGCAAGAACCGGTCACCGTCGTGGAACCCGGCTCGAACAAGGGCAAAATCGTCCCGAACGATGAAGGCGTTGACATGAAGGCGAAGAAGGTGAAACGACGGAGGCTGGTGTCGTTTTGGGAGCTGCCGGAGTACATGAAGGACAACGAGTACATCCTGAGTTATTACAGGGCAGATTGGTCTCTCGCAGACGCTTTCTTCAGTGTTTTTCGTCTGCACAATGAGACACTCAACGTCTGGACGTACGGAAAAAAATTTATTTTTATTTTTGTTAACTACCATTTCTATATGTTTTTTACATCGATATATATATATATATTGCAGGCATTTGGTTGGGTTTATCTTGTTTTTGGGGTTAACAATCGGCAACATTTCTTACCACAACAAACACCTCCCCTTGGCAAGTTCCCTTATCTTATACATATACATACATCACATATATATGTATGTATATTGGATCTGTCATATCCAACAATGGTTTTTTGCTACGCTTGATTTCCCTTTAAGATCTTTGAGTTTTTGGTTATGTTTTGGACAAAAGAAACTGAAGTATTGGGGTTTGATGTCTCTAGAGGGTCTGAGTTTCTGTGTCTTTTCCACAATGTGTGGAACTGAAATTTGGATATGTCTGAAAATCTTCGGATATTATTCCCTTATCAGAGACAATCTTAGATATTCTCCGTAACGTAAATTAGAACATATAATAAAATCTTGGAAACGAAATGTTCCATAGGACTGGTGAAATGTGCTAAGAAACTCTGCAATTCAGCCGATAGATAGATCGATATATTTTGTTATTGATCGAAATGTTTAACGCCAAAGAATCTACCCGAATCGTTGATTTATTCTTCGGCCGAATGCATTTTTTTCTGTCTTTACCATATACAGATTTGATGAACCTCAAAGGTTGATTTGACGGGTTATCCTTACCGAAAAATCGATGCAGGACGAGGCGAAAAAGGCGACGAGATGGCCGTTCTACGTGTTCTTGAGCGGATCGATGTTCTGTCTGATGGCAAGTAGCGTATGCCATCTCTTCTGCTGCCACTCCAAGAATCTAAACGTCGTCCTCCTCCGCATCGATTACACGGGAATCGCCGTCATGATTATCACTTCCTTCTTCCCGCCGATGTTCTACATCTTCCAATGCACACCTCACTGGTACTTCATCTATCTCGGAGTCATCACCGCCTTTGGAGTCTTCGCAATCTTCACCCTCTTCACTCCCTCCCTTTCCTCGCCCAAATACAGAGCCTTCCGGGCCATTCTCTTCGTTTCCATGGGCCTTTTCGGGATAATTCCGGCTGTCCACGCGGCCATGGTGAACTGGAGCAACCCGAAGAGGAACATTACGCTCGGGTACGAGGTCTCGATGGCGGTGTTTTACCTGGTCGGGACGGGGTTCTACGTGAGTAGAGTGCCTGAGAAGTGGAAGCCTGGAGGGTTTGATCTGTTCGGACACAGCCATCAGATCTTTCATGTGTTTGTGGTGTTTGGTGCTTTGGCTCACTACGGAGCGACTCTCCTGTTCTTGGACTGGCGTGACCATGTTTCCTGTCATGATTGACTGTTGTCCGAAGAAAATTTGATTTTTTTTTTGTATTTGATCTTTGAATTGTTGCGAGGAAATTATAAATGTGTTTCTTTGAATGGAACTGAACTAAATCGAACCCAACAAAGACTTTGGTTCTTGTCTTTTGAAACGGTCTCAATCATTCACAAATCCAATTGAATCTTCGTTTTTATTAAAAAATAAATATTTACACTACTCATAATTTTTATTCATTTATATATTTTTCAATTTAGTTTAAATATATTTATGATATTAATTTATCATTATTGAAGCACTTTAAAATTAGATTGAAAAAGAAACATCAATAAATATAATAGTTTTTTCGGATCTATACGACGATGGTTTTTATTCAGATTTATGAATAATTGAGTTTTTTGTGGTTTTTCTTTATTAAACTGTATAATTGATGAATATATATATATATTGGCATATTTCTTTTTTTAATAATCTTACCAATATTTATATTTTAAAACCCAAATGCGAACTTTGGTGAGAACTCTAGTATCGGTCAATAGAAGTCAATGCGTAACCAAAACTAAACGAGAACGGTTTACCCTAAACCAACTGCATCCAAACCGGGAAAAAGCTCTAACCCCCCGCCATAATCTTCCCGAAACAAAACTTAAACCGGTTCCATAACCGACCCAAGTTAAGCATACCAATAAACACACACACACAAAAAAATCATAATTATTAATTACCATACCATAACGAAGGGTCAAACACTTTAATTTTGGCAACTAAGCAAGAACCAAAGCAGTAATTACAAATCAACTCTATAACCCCTCTTGCAATACACACACACACACACACACACACACACACACATATATAGAAACAACGCATATATTATCTTTCCTTAAATGAGTATATACGTATGCCCCATAATATATATATATATATATATATATATATATATATTTGTGTATATATATATATTCCTCCCCCCTTCATCTTCTTCTCCCCTAATGCCTCATTCTCTCTCCCCCCAAGAAGCGATCACAATGACAAAATATGACTTTCTCTGCGTCAAATTCTTTCTAGGGCCGGCTCTTTTGGTAGTAGCACTTTTCATTCTTCGTTACACTTGCCAACCCCAAAACGTGAACGTCTTCTCTTCTTTCATGCCCGCAATTTCATCCATATCTCCGTCTCCGTCTCCTTCTCCGACCCAACCCCCGTCCCTAGAGCCGAGCGTTGACCCGAAATCTCAGCCCGAACCGACGGGCATGACGTCGATGAACGCCACAACGATCACTAGCTGCCAAAAGGTACGTATGCACCCTCATAATGTATTGATATGATCCTCTTTCCAACGACGTTACACTTACATTTTGACGATACTTTTCGGATCTTTACAAGTATTTGGGTCATATAATTCGAATGTTGTAGAGAAAACCGGTTGAATTTATGCGGCGTTATATAGTAATTTGTCACGTAATTGTTGATTATTTATTTGGGTTTGAATAAGAGAAGAGAAGGAGAGTTGGGGAAGGCAAGAGCGATGATACTTGAAGCCGTAAAGACAAAAAACTATACATCGGACAAAGACGAGGGCTTTGTTCCTCGTGGAGCTGTTTACAGAAACTCGCTATATATATATATGTATATAATCTTTTTTTTCTGTTTTGCGCTCAATGTTCATTAATTATGAGAGAAATGAATAAAAAAATTACCAATATCAACAATTTTTTTTAAAAAAAAAATTATGAAATAAACAGTCAATAATATGGAAAAAAAACCCAGTTTTTTCCCGTCGCTTAATTAAAATTTGAATTTCTCTTGTTAAAAATCCTTATATTTTTTTTTTGTTTTAAATGTTGGGGGATATTGTGTTAACAAGTGTGTGACTCTCATATGCTTTGGGGGAAACAAAATAAAAATAAATAAAGAGATTTCTCCCAAATCTCACTGTCTCTTAGTTCTCCGGATCTCGTGTAAACGAGTCTTATATATTTAATTACAATATAAGAGTTAAAAAAAAAAGAGAGATTAATACAATATTCTTATTGGTTAAATTTACATATTAGTGGAATCATCAAGCCTTAAATGCAAATTTAACCATTTGATTAAATACTATGCATGATTTAAGGGATTCTTAATATTCCATTTGTCCATGCGACGATTAAAACCAATTCATAAAACGTTTTATACCCTTTTTTAAAGGTTTTTTTTTAGTAACCGGATTTTCTGGACCGAAGTCCAGACTAATCTAGGAACCATAAGTCAACTATGTGATTTGAATTATGCATTTTCTCCCTAGCATGGGGTTCGAACTCGGGACGGGACAGACGTTTTGCGCCCCCGTTTCGCCGGTTAAACTATCCAAGTTGGGTAATTTTTTTTAAAGTTTTTTTTTTGTTTAAATTTTTTTTAAAGTTATAACATACCATAAATTGGTTCATTTATTTGAATAATTTCCGTGATCAACGCACATTTATGACGTAGTAAATAAGGTAAGCCTTGTGGTCTGCGGGTCATGAACGTTGAGTCGACGCAATTCATGCTTTGGTAATTGGATTTTGCAGCTCTCGAATCCATACCCATTTCGACGTTTCATAAAATCTTTAGAAAACAAATATATTTTTTTTGAATTTAACTATTTTTTCTTTCGAAATAAAATAAGTGAATAATTACATGTTTTTGTACGTATATCCACGTGATTTTATTTTCACATTGATATTTATGATTGGAATATTAAACTGGAAATTCGGATTCTGCCAAACGAATAGTACTATATGCAAGGGACCTAACTTCTTTAAGACCCAGAAATAGAATATACAAATGGGGAAAAAACTTAAAAAATAGTTAACAAAAAAACTTATAAAAAATATGTGAAATTAAATTTTAGTGGCAAAATCGTTAAAATTGGTATTTTATATGTTTTATAGTTGCAAAATGATGTCAATTTATTCTTTTGTCAGGTAGAAAACTAACTCGGCTAAAATATGGAAAAATACAATATATTAATTTTATAATTAGATTAATCTTGTAAATTTGAAAATCAGTATTTTATTTCTTTTTTCCAATTAATTTACGTGAAAAAAACAGGAGCCACATAGAGATGGAGAAGAGGTTCAAAGTGTGGGTTTACAAAGAAGGGGAGCCGCCTCTAGCGCATTTGGGGCCATTGAACAACATCTACGGCATCGAGGGCCAATTCATGGACGAGATCGAGACCGGTTCGAGCCCGTTCCTCGCCAGCCAGCCCGACCAGGCTCACGCCTTCTTCGTGCCGGTCAGTGTGGCCAACATCGTTCACTACCTTTACCACCCGCTCGTGACCTACTCCAGAGACCAGCTCCACCACGTGGTTCTTGATTACATCGATACCGTGTCCAGCAAGTATCCTTTCTGGAACCGAACCGACGGCGCCGACCATTTCTTGGTTTCTTGCCATGATTGGGTAAAGTTTCTCGTACGGTTTTCTTGATGTTTTCAGTAAGTTGTCGGAGCTCGTTTACATTATTTGCTGGTACCGTATACTCTACGAAGACCCGATCGAGTTAAGATTGATCGAAGTCTGAAACCTCGAGGTTCGATGATTTTTCTCTCTCGTTAGAATCCGATTCAATCCGGGTTTCGGGTTCTGGAGAGTTTTGTAAAGTTTTTGTGGGTTCGAGATTAATGAATAAACGGACCTAGAACCCGATCGAAACTCTAGGGTTTATGGGAGTTTCTATCCGCCGGTCTTTAAAATCCGACAGTATATTAGGATTTGTCTGACACATTCGATCGTAATCCTTGGTTTGAAACCGTGTTTAAGGTTTGTCTGTCGTTTTCTTGGAATGTTCCACAGGCACCAGACGTATCAGGAGCAGATCCAAAGCGTATGAAGAACTTAATAAGAGTGCTATGCAACGCCAATACATCCGAAGGGTTCGAACCTCGACGGGATATATCGATCCCCGAGATCAACATTCCGCCCGGAAAGCTCGGCCCTCCTCGGGTTTCCCTCCCGACCCGAGAACGCGATATTCTCGCCTTTTTCGCTGGAGGTTCACACGGATACATCCGGAAAATCCTCCTCGAACATTGGAAAGACAAAGACGAAGAAATACAAGTCCACGAGTACTTACCGAAAGGCAGAAATTACTTCAAACTCATGGCAAGAACACGGTTTTGTCTCTGTCCTAGCGGCTACGAAGTTGCGAGCCCTCGTGTCGTCGAGGCAATACAGTTAGGTTGCGTTCCCGTCATCATATCCGACCATTACTCGTTACCCTTTAGCGACGTGCTCGACTGGAGCAAGTTTACGGTCCATATTCCGTCTGAGAAGATTCCCGAGATCAAGACGATACTGAAGAGCGTTTCTTGGAGACGGTATCTGGTGTTGCGGAGAAGGGTTCTGCAGGTTCAGAGGCATTTTGTATTGAACCGACCTTCGGTACCTTACGATATGATTCATATGCTGCTTCATTCCGTTTGGTTGAGGAGGCTGAACTTTATGATTCCTTCATGATATATGTATATATATAACTTTGCAGTTCTTGTTTTGTGGCAAATGATAGCGAGTATCGATATAAAATTGGTCGAAAATGTGCGGTTTGATCTTCCAACGAAAGGATAAATCGGTAGAACTTTGGTTTTGACTGAAATGCAATCTGATTCTGACACATCTTTGTTTTTCCGGCAAGAATTCAGACAAAAACTCGAGTTTGATGGAAATGAAGACAGAAATCGCGAAATGTACAGCGAACAGGAACCAGAGACACTGATGATCTAAAATAGACAAATATGCGAAGAACATCTCAGATCGATCCAGTTCATGGTTTCGTTCGAATCAAAGCTTACAGCAAGGATTGAGAACTGGGGTTCATAACTCGAGTTCGATAACGTGAACTCTCTTCTCCTCCGAGGGCATATGATCCAACGCGAAAGCGACCAACCCAGACGAAGGATCGTACTCGAATCCAACCTCGTTCGACTCGACGATGCATCTCTTAGGCTTAACCGACGAATACGCACCGAATTTTCCGCACCCTTTTACTTCCATTACTACTCTCATCTTCTCCGTTTCGTATCTCAGCCCTTCAATGGCGCCTCCTGAGTTGAACATGCTCACCAGACCAAGGGGGGCGAAGGATACAGCATCTGACAAAACTCTAATGGGCGTGACAGTGAAAATCTCGTGCTCACGCACCCGGAGAGAGATCGGAAACGACGCGTTGAAAGGCAGGATTCCTAGTTCGCCTTTGCTATGGCCGTAGACTGCGCAATCCCCGTTCCAGGTCGCAGGATCGGTAGAGGAATCGCCTATTAAGTGCACGTCTCGTCCTCGGATGTAACCCGTGATGCAATCGGTTTTCGTCTCGTGGAAGGTGTTCTTCCTCTCGGCGCTGCTCCAGGCCGCGCCTTGGCAGTTGTATACGCCCAAAACTCCGGTGTACTTGTTCATGTTCCATATCTTAAGCAAGCTGAAAAATCCGAATACAAATCCACCAATGGATTCAAAACTCGGAAAAAAAAACTTCAAACACAACGAATAAGGTTCGGCCATGATTCGGGGGGATAAGGTTCGAAAGTAGCTTGGATTGCAAGTAAAGGATCGGTAAGATCTCACTTGATCAGTTTTACTTGCAACAGAAGCTATTTCCGAAGCCTTATCTGCCAAATCATCACCGATTCTTGTTCCTTGTGTTCCAGTCTTCGTTCATCATCTCTATCTCGACACATTTGTGTAACCAAAATGGCTTACCTGATACCGTCACGGGCAGGATCAGAGAACAAGCAGTCACGGGTCGGGCGACCGGGCAGTCGGGCACGAAGGATCGATCCATCCGGCAGTACAAGCTTCTTCAGAAGCTCGAAGTTATGCTTTCCAGGAGCATCACTGTTCGTCACAAAACCAGAGAACAATACAATAAGCAATCACTTACAAGTAAACCCTACATAGATTGTGTTTACCGAAACAAGATTTGATCTAATTATATACCTGACGTAGACAGGACCGCCACTAATGGCCCGAGCAGAAGCATGGTACTCAGCAGCAGGGTGTACGGAATGGAACATGTCCCAGTCCGGTTGCATGAACTCTCCCAAGAACACACTGTTGTACGCAACGGCGGCTATATGGATCGTGTGGGACACTGGATCACGTGGATAGAAATCGTCCGAGGCTCTTACAACGGCTGTCTGTTTGGAACTGGATTCATCGAAAACATAAAAAAAAAAAAAGTTTCATCTCGTTATTGCAGAATCTTTCTTTGACCCGAAACCCATATATCAGGAATAAAACCAGAGCTTTACCAGTAGAGAGCATCAGTGTTGTGGCTCATACACGCGATGCAGCCATTGTCGGGGAAGTTCTGAGCCACGGAGGCGTCGAGGGCTTGATGGTACTGACGAGTTAATTCAACCCGACCACCTAAACCGGCGCCTAAAGTCTCCAGTATACACTGAACGTCCACTTTCACGCCATCCACACCAGCAGAAGCTAAGTAACTATGGAGCTCGTTGAAGAATCTGTGCACATTCTTCGGATTTACTAACCCTAATCCTTGAACCGCCATTGCGTCGGTTTTCCAGGTCGGTTCGTTCTCCACCACGCCTCTTGAAACCATCGGATACTTCATCAGAGAACCGTATTCCTCCATCTCCTTCACCCCGGGTCTGACCCCGCCCCAGTACCCGGTTATAGCATGCCATACGTATACGTATTTAAGCCCGTGTTTCTGCTTCGCGATATTGACGATGTTCTTGATTCCGACACTCGGGTCATCCTTCTTCTGAAATTTCTGATTTTCTTTGATCCCTGTTAACCTGGGAACCGACGGTTGACCTTTCTTGTCATCCAAGAAATTGTTCTCGTTTGGGTCGCTTTCCACAGATTGCCAGCCATCGTCGATGATGACGAACTTCGGCGGCGTTCCGCCGGCGGCGAGTGAAGCAAGTCCATCCTCGACCCCTTCCTGAGTCACCTCCTGATAGAACGCGTCCCAAGTGCACCAACCGAAAAAGTCAACGATTCCTGGGAGTTTCTTCTCGTGACGTTGACGAAACGTCTTAAGGTGGGACTTAACGGCGCGTATAGCCTCAGTTATCGCCTGGAACGGATCCGTGCTGGCGTGGATGTACAGCGCGTGGGTGAACGACGACGTTTTAACGTCCGAGTCTCCACTCTCGAGGCATAGCTCCAACTCGTCGTTGGCGTTGCCCTGAAGGGATGAACGGAACGGGCCTTCGATTAACGGCAAGAAAACGGTGTAAACGATTCGGTTTGCCTCGTCGTTGTTAACGCCGTCAGGTTCAAGGTGGGACCCATCTTTGCTCTCCACCAATAGGAACTGAGTCTCGACTGGGATCTCGCCGCCGCGATCTCCCATCTTCTGGGCCATCCACCAGAGCTTAAACCGGAAACATGCCATAAACCGGGCGTCTCGGAGCGTACCGACCGGTACGACGTGACGGCTTTCTTGGTTATCGAAAACCGCCCCGACGAAGACTCCCTCGACCGGACCGGCCTCTGATGCTGACGTCGTGATGACGTTTTCCGGTATACCGGTTAGGATCGTCCTGTCCTTGATAACCAACTTCCCCTCGGCGATTCGAACCGCCGGTTTAATCGTCATCGTTGTTTCTTCTCCTTCCTCCTCCTCCTCTCTGTACGGTCCCTTGAAAGGTGAGGTGACGTTGCTTTTCTGCAGAATCCGACATCGACCCAATGAAAAAAAAAAGGCACAAACTTATTAGATACCCAGAGATTTTCTCAGATCCAACAAGGAAAAATGGTGTCGGATTTCTATTCGTTTCTACGAATCTGCAGATCTGAAGATGATTTACCTTATCTGCTGAGAAACTGAAACCTCGAGAAGACGAACAATGTATGTGGAATCCGAGACATGGAGCAAAGGAAATTGCAAGACAACAGTGTTAGCCCCGAGATTCGGAAACACAAATTTTCCCAGAGAAATGATTCGTTTTCTCGGGAAAGAGAAGGAAAATAAACAGGGAAAACGAGACAGTACCAGAAGATTTATGAAAGCGCAGGTTAGATTTGAGGGGGAGAGCTTGGGGTCGCGATTTCAATGGCGATGAAGAGAACCTGAATGAACGAAAGTGAGAGAAAGGATGAACCCTTTTTATATCGAGGCCAAGACTGTAACACCTCTGTGACGCCATTCTCTCTCTCTCTGGTCTTAGCCTATGGCGCCTCTCCCTGTGGATAAAAATATAATAGAAAGGAAAAATTACTTTCCTTTCACGAATATATTTCTGATTATCCATTTTGACCTATTAATATCGCATCTCTGCTTTGTTGGCAATTTCATTATATTATTATAATTGGAAAATTATCTCATTTTGCCACCATTTCATCCAATTTGTAAGTTAGTTGGAAATAAAATATTTGGAAAATTCAGTTCAAAATTTGGGTTTTGTAAGTGAAATTTGAATCTAAATTTTACGATTTTACATATATCAAATACTTTAATTGAGAATAAAAAACAGTTATTCAGATTCATTGTCTATAGATATTCGAATATTTTTTTTCTGATTAGTAAAATATAAAATTTATGACTTTCTGTTTCCGGGTAAACATTGACAAGCTTTTGGTTTCTTGTCGTGAATTCTTATTTCGTGTTGTGTAAGAAAATTTAGAAGCCGCGTGAATATAGATTTGATCACGTGTCTATAAAGAGTAAAAATTCATATTTGAAAAATAAAATGAATATTTTTAGAAATTAAAAAACTCGAATTATACATGCATTTCGAATATTTTCAGGAATTTAATTAATAATAAAATCTATTCAAATGGAAATTTGATAGGATCTATTTACCGCGCCGTTTGTTAGATCCTAACGGAGTTCTCATTGGCACACGTGGGAGATCCTAGACGGCAAGCCAAGATATTTTTACCCTGAAATCGACACGTGTATATTTTTCATTGGTTGGATAATAGAGTATTTAGCATTTTTACAGGTGTCATTTGTAAACCCTCTTTGAAACTGTGGAACGATGTCGTTTTGTCTGTCTAGAGGCTTACCGATTTTGCCCCGCCCATCTAGAAGCATCTATCTTTTATATTCTCAAAAGTTTATATATTATAAATTCCTTTATTAGGAATAATTACTTATAGAATTTAGTTGAAAAAACTTTGTGACATTATTTATTTTTGAAAATACATATCGTCATTTCGACCGATAATCATATAAATATAGTGTGGAAACATTCGTGGAAATGAAAGAATATTAAAACGGAACGGTAAATATCAAAGAAAAGTTTAAAAAAAAAAAGAATAAAAGAAATTAGATTATATAAACATTGATTGGTGGTATTATTCTGTGGTATAAATAACAGACCCGCAAAAGTAGAATATCAAATAACATTATAATTCAGCGCCGACGTGATCTTTTTACATGCATATTATTATATTCATATCTTAATTTCTTGCAAGTTATAAACAATTATAAACATAGTTTTTTTAAATTAAATAAGAATATTAAATAATTTTAAAAATTATATGAAATTGGCCATTTGATAAAGCTTAAGACAAGTGGCAAAAATATCTTCACATATACAGTTGGACGCAACCATATCCCATCATTTTTGTTCAGTTGGGGCCCACAAAGCTGCATGATTTCTCGAGAATGTCATTTTTATTATTAAAATTGTAACATTATAGTATATTATATATATATATATATATGAGTATAGAGCACACGAAAGGAATTATTATGTATTTCTGTTGCTGTACGGAAATTATGGAACCAATTTAAATAAAAATGAAGCAATGGGCAAAGCAATTGAGTAACGTACTTCTAATCTAAAATTGCAATGAAGAATTTTACATGAAATGGTTAAAAACAAATGAATTTTGGGGTCATGATTGGATTCAATGGATATTGATATCATTATCATTACATCATTTTTCGAAAATTACAATGTCACAACAGGATTGCAATTATTATCTTTTTTTGTGACGTGGAATATACCAATTTATGAGGATAGAGCATGCGGAAATATCTTTGCAAACCAATAATAATAATAATAATAATAATAATAATAATAATAATAATAATAATAATAATACCTGAGTACGGTTTAAATACCTTCAGCTCTATTTTGTGGATTTTTATTGAGAGATTGCGTATGACAATCAATATGCAATAATATACGACTATATAGCTAAAAATGAATACCAAAATACGTAAAAAAAATATTGATTTTTAAAAATATTTTATGGAAAAGGGATTATTGAATACATTAAATCAAATTGTTAAAAGAACAACAGAATAAAGACGTATGGTATTTGTATAGAAAATCTACATCATATAATGATGCAATGAACTTATGATGAGGTGTAGATAAGATCCGTGATTGAGTTCCATGTCATGATGACACACACACACATATATAATCTAACCACAAACAAGATTCAATTTTATTAATAAAATATAAGTAAAAAAATTCGATTGAATCTATATTACCCAAGAAGTGAATTTAATTTACATTTGCATACTTCGTCATAAAAATCTAAAATCGTCGAAGAAAATATTAATTACTATTATTACTACCATTATTATTATTATTATTATAGAAAATCATATCAATACTATTTTTTTTTTGTATAAATACACAAAATTTATTTATTTTTTTAAAAAACACCAACTTCTTAAATTTTACATTTAAACCTCAATTTTTTAAAAACTAAAAAAAAACGTCATATCATAATGGTATATAAAAATCATTTAAAAATTTAATGAGAATTTTTATTATTTTAAAAAATTTAAAGTTTAATATAGAAGTAAAGAAGATTTATATATTTATTTAGGTATTTGAAAATCTGTATATTTATTTGATTTTTTTTTCAAGTTCATGTATTATTAATATGCAATTTTCATTCGCTACTATTATTAATTATTATTATTACTATTGTACTCGGAACCTCCAGAATATTCTTCTACTCAGACACGAACACAACATTAGAAATTGCAAGCTAGGCCAACTACCACGGGTTACACTCATAATCGAAAAGATCCATAAATTACAAAAAAAAAAAACACTGAACTTGAAGTCCCCTCTGTCCCCTCACTGTTCAGTTTTGACATCACTACTCTGAAGCCAATCCTTTGCGCATATCAGAGCTTCCACCGTCTCCGGCCTCAGCGACGTCTTGTACTCATCCATCTCCCTCGGTTCCCCCTCGAACACGTTCCCGAAAGCCGCTGCCGACACGGGAATCGACAGAATATCTCGGGCCATCTTCGACAGCGTCGGGTATTTCAGCTTGTTCTGTTTCCACCAGTCCAAAACGTCAAACTCCTGAACTCGGGGCATCAACGTCTCGTCCAGGTACTGATCCAACTCCGACTTCAGATTCTGTCCCGTCGTCTCCATTATATACATGTCGAAATCCAATAGCCTGTCAGGTTTCGGGTTGCTCCCGCCTTCTGCGTAGGCCGGGGTTAGCGGCAGAGGAAGCGCAACGTACTCGTTGAAGAGCTCGTGGATCCCGTCATCCACGGTTTTTATGTTCTTTCCCGCGTCTTCCCCGAATATTTTCGAGAAACTGAACTCGACGAGCTTCATCTTGAACCGAGGATCCATGATCACAGCCATTGCCAACACCAAGCTACAATCCCTCCAGTACTTGTCGATCTTCTCTTTCATGGTTTTCGCCATGCCACCGATGTAAGGGTCCTCCCCGACAATTGCACGCGAGAGATCCGACTGTGTCTTCCAGATTTCGTGGAAGAACGTAACAGCAGTTGGGTTTGCAGTGGATTGAAGAGCAGATACCGCTTCATAAAGAGGCTTCAAGAACGAGCAGAGGGTCTCGGCTTGCCTCCAGTCCTCGGCTGATAGAGCTTGCTTGTAGTCGGGATCAGCAGTGTCTAAGCACGAGAACACCTCTTTTAATTCCGAAGCAGAGACAAGCATCAGATACGTTGTGTTCCATTGAGTTTGATCGTCAAGGAAAAGCCCGCTCTCGGTTGGAACTTGAAGGTGTTGCTTAAGCTCGAGAAACTTCTCCTCGTGAGATTCCGAGGTTTTCACATACTTCACGCTATCACGGATCTTCTTGATCACTTCTTTCCCTTTGTCCAGCACATCTTTCGCAAGGCTGCTAAAGGTACGGGCGACGCAATTCCCGATTAACAACTGCCCGTCGAGAATATTTGGGTTCTTGACACAGAGTAGTGGCCTTAGATTCTCGACAGCATCGTTACTGACTGGATGGTTGAAGGTAACAGAGAATAGCTTACCGTCCAGATTCCAGTCAGCGATGCACGAGGCAACCGCAAGACTCAGAGCAGATACAGAATCTGGGTATGGTTCCATCACGACATTGAGAAGCTTTTTCTGCAACTTCCAATTGCTGTCGATGAAGTGAGCGGTTATAAACACATACGCCAGAGTTTGTTTCGAAGTCCAGAAGTCCAGGGTAAGGCCTAAGCGCCCAGGAATGCCCTCAAGATATTTCGAGACAGTCTGCTTTTCTGCAAGGTAAGTGGCGACACAGTCGCCTTGAACGGTGTTGAAGCTCACCCTCTCAAAGTGAGGCTGAAGACTTTGGACAAAGGAAATGAACCCGGGATGTTCAACCATGTGAAGAGGGTAGTCATGCATGATGATCATCTTGGCAATTTCATGGCGGCATTGGTCCTGATTGAATGAAATATAGGGAGTGCTGGAGGTTCGATACCGTCTTCTCGGTGTATCACTCTTGGGTGTGTATGGCGTTAGCTGATTATTCTCGAGGGGATGTAAAAGAGCCGGGCAAGTCCCCTTGGCGATGTGGCGTTTGAGATGACTGGTACCCGCGACTTTTGAACCCGTGCTGTAAGCAAAGCTCTGCTTACAACCTTTGCAGCACGCCCGTCTGCAACCAGGGCTCACTGTCTCGATAGTGAAGTGCTCCCACACCATCGACTTCTTTTTCCGACGCTTGATCGGTTGTGTTTCCGGGGTTACCATCTCATCATCATTGTAGGCCTCAATAGCTGTTTCCATCTTTGTCCGAGTCCGACAGATTCTTGCTCTGGAAAGGAAAGAAAGAAACAGAAATCAAGAAAAGCAAAAACAAAAAAAAACCACCCATATGGAAAACAATTTCATAATTTGGAATTAAACTAAGATCCCAAAAACAGAAAAAAGACGAGGAGTTGATCGGAAAACCGGATTTGACAACTAGTAAGACGATAAAGATTAAACACATCAAATCATCAGGGCCCAAGAACAACAGCAGTTCTGAACTGAATTAAGAACTTAAAAAAGTTCCGATTCACAATTAAGTTAACCTCAGTGGGCTTCCACTATGAAACAGAAGTCACAAAAGAACGAGAAGAGTGACAAGTATCATTACAAAACATCTTATTTAAAATAGATCAAGAGAAAGTGTTTAATTAAAACCCTTTCGGTCAGAATCCTTAATGTATTACTTTACTATAACAGTAGGCCTTGGGCCCATTTAAGGCCCAACATGATTGGGCCCACTAGAAATTAAAGAGTATATATACGCTACTAATAATAGAGGGGCAAAACTGGTATTTACGAAAAGCCCCCAAAAAATGTTTTAAAAGGAGAGAAAAAAACAGATCTGGAGTTATGATGGTCCTGAGATTCGGATCAAACATGGGCTGCAAAACCAAAACCAGAGCCCAGATTTAAAGAAAAGATTCAACGCAAGACATGAATCGAGAAGTCTTTTAACCATACTTGTCGGAAAAAAAATATACAATTCTCTTAACGAGATCGGCCTTAAAAAAAATTTGGCGGACCCGAAACACAAGACAAGACGATACTCGTGAATATATAAACAAGATCCACTAAAATTTTCAAAAGTTGAATTTTTGCCTCCACGACGAGTCACAAAAATTTTCAAACTTCGCTCCTAAAACGCAAACAGATAACTTTTTTCCCAGGTATGGATGTCAATTTTACTCGACATTAACAGGGCAAACGGGGAAAGTTTTTGGAGTAGACATAATGAACACACCAACAAGACTTTCGACATGTACTGGAATCGTGTGCAGAAACAGTTTTTGAGAAACTATCGCAGAAGACTCGAACTCTATACATGAAAAAAACAGATCAGACCTATCTTTTTTACAATCAAGGGCAAAAAAACATAATCCTCCTCGAATTAAGATCTCTAAAACCTCAGAGAAGGGGTAAATCGGGGGAAATCAAGCATAAAACAGCAGAAATCAAACAATCCCCAAAGGTTTCAACGAAAACGAGAGAAAAAAATTGAGCAAAAGGAGAAATTGAAGCTAGGGTTAGGGTTTCTGGAATTACATCTGCAGGAGAAGAACGAAGCAGAGGAAATAGATGTCGGAGTGAAATCAGACGCGGAAGGAGAATCTCCGGCACGGCGAAGACGGAGAATCGGAGCCGATCTGGGAATCAACCGAGGAGAGAGAGAGAGAGAGAGAGAGAGAGATTTGGGCTTGAGAACCCGAGAGGCTAATTGGACCTGAGGACAAAAAAAAGGATAAACAAAAAGAGAGCGAAGTGATAACTATGGAAAAGGTGAGGGTCTAAATACGGTTTAGGTAAAACGCCAAGGACTTTATGGGTTATTTGGGCTTTTATGGGCTTTCTTTTAGGCCCATTTTCCTTTTTTGGGTCTATTTTTAAAAAAGATTTTATTTAAATTTAAAAGTCGCTTTCTGTCACGGGCTAATATTTAAATGAAATAATGTTTATATTAGGATGCGACATGATGTGGGGCCCAAAGGAAGAGTGGTGATAAAAATATATTATACTACAGTTTACCTGGATTGGAATTTAAAAAAAATCTAATTTGGTTTAGTTATGTATTTTACAAGAGAAATAATTTAAAAAAAAACAAGAAAAAATTTGTCAATTGTCACTGAAACGAATAATATAAATTTAATCACTATTTGGTTAATCTCCCCAAATATTCCAAACTTTTTGAAAAAATATCACAAAAAGAGCCACAAACTTTAACTTCTCGCCAAAAGACCCCCCCCCC